CCCCCCACACACGCATTCCCCAAAATTTGGCGGATTTAACAGATGGGACAACCTCCAAGTCCGCCCCCCCGGCATGGCGGTGGCGGGGAAATTTTGGGAGTTGAAGTCCACATGTCTTAAAACTGCCAAGTTTGAGGAACACTGGATTAGAGGCTGGGTCTGTAGGCTCCTAGTCCAACACCTTAACCCAGGGCTTCCCAAACCCAGGCATATTACCCAAAATTGGGTAAAAGTAGTTTTATTTTGGGTAACGACACACGAACTCATTACCCTATCACAACAGGGACATTTGAATTGACTTAAAGTGTTTGACCTACATCGGATAAAAAGGACTTTCTGATAAGCGGTTTTGGGCAATGAAGGAAAAAGTTTGGGAGGCGCTGCCTTAACCCCTACACCAATAGCTCTTTTACTGCCACCTCTCCGAGAGAAAATACTGCATCCTGTTCGATCTGGGAAGTTCAGCAGAGCCAAGCCTAGTTGGCTGGGAAGTGTTCTGAGTTCGAGCTGTTCTGACCACCAGATGCTCGCTCCAACCTCACAGGAAGGGTCCTGGCCTCAAAACAGAGGTTGGAATGCTGCGTTCCGAGGTCAGCACACTTCGGGTTAGATTGGCAAGGCCCGTTTCTGGAGACATCACGCTGGCCATCTGAGCAAGACATTTCCCTAAAGTTTCCAACTCAGTGCTTTGCACACCTGTGTTTAGTACTTAGAAGAGAAAGCTGGCTGGGATATTTTATGGTGGCTTGGTTTCCCAGTTTCCACTACTATTAACAAATGGGCTTTTTGAAACGTTATTACAGGGAGTCCTCGTTTAGCGACTGCCTCATTGAGTGATCACTTGCAGTTACGACGGTGATGAAGTAACTTTGCAACCCATCCTCACATTTACAACCTTCACAGATCTGTAAAGCAAAGGAAAGCTGAAGTCAAATCATAAGCAGTTGCAGTTTCACTTAGCGACTGCTTCACTTCATGACCAAGTTGCTGGTCCCATCTGGGGTTACTAAACGAGGACTCCCATGAGAATTATTTACTAATTGGACAAATCATTTGTGGTGGTTGTTTGTGTGTGTGTGTGTGTGTGTATATACTCATCTATATGACAAGTTTCAACTTTTTCTACATTCCTTCTGTTTTCTGCCTTATGCAGCAACTGTTTATAGGGATATCATGTGCTTGAGTTACGCCCTGATTTGTTTTTGTGCTTCTACCATGAGCCTGGAACCACAATCAAGCTGCCACACACAGCCAAGAACACCACAACACCACCCTTCCTTTTTAGCAGTTTATTTAAAGTCAGGTGAACAAGATACCCTCAATCTGTGGAGCAGAACCAGCAGAATTCAAGGCAAGCAGTCATGTTCAAGTTTAAGGCATACTTTTTTTTTTAATTTAAAAGTACAGATTGTGCTTTTCTTTTCTCTTTTTTTTTTGGAAGAAAGAGCCAAGGCAGTGGACCCTCGTGTGGATTCGTCCTGTCCCACGGGCCTTATTAAAGAGGACACCCTTTCCACTCTACGGAGAACGGGGCACAATTCCCAGCAACCTCCCAGTGGGTCGGTAGCATTTCTTACTCCCAGGGAGTTCGATGTTCAAGCGGAAGCCTTCCCACGCCACGTTTCCTCAGGATCCGTGTTTCATTTATTACTTACTTATTGCAAAACACAGATCCCAATCCTCTTCTAAAACAGGAAAGAAAACGTTCTGCCTTTGCAGCCTCTCACCATACCTAAACCGAGAAAGCTGGCTTGTATGGTAGCTCAGATCAGCGGAGGGCAGGCTGTGATGGATCTTTCCCCTTCGGGTCCTCTGTCCTGGATGGACTGCCCATCAGAGGGCAAAATGGGCGTCCAGTTCAGTGGCATATTGACGTGCGGGTGGAGGTGGTAAAAAGGTGCCCCTGTTCCTGTAACCCCAGTCCTTAAAGCAGTGTTTCTCAACCTTGGCCACTTTAAGATGAGTGGACTTCAACTCCCAGAATTCCCCAGCCAGCAAGGCTGGCTGGGGAATTCTGGGAGTTGAAGTCCACTCATCTT